AGAGATAATAGAGTTTTGCTAATATCTTTTTTCATCGTTTTTTTTTTGTATTATTTGTGCTAAATCAATAAATGTTTTCTCAGACATGAGGAAGAGTTTAAAGAATCGAAAGATAGCATAGCTACAAAGTTCCACCATTAAAATTTTGGGCGTCATATCTTTTATTTTCACGACCAACTTGTTTAAAAAATAAGAGAGACTTTCTCAAATGATTTAACACCTGACCAAAAACACTTCTTTCTTTAATATTATGAAAGTTTTTTTAAATATTTCCACATCACTGTTGTAGACAAAAAGCACCGATTATTAAGTAATAATAAAAATAATCAGAAATTATATAGGCACTTTTCTAAAATAAAAAACTTGCAACAAAATCGCGGTTAAAACCAACGCGTTCAAGCGATTCGAGTCACTAACGTCATCAACTCGTGTGTCATTTTAAACCACATTATAACTGCGGTAAATAATACAGACATTTTGGTCATTCGCTGGGATTTGATTCTAATCTCAGCAAGCATTCAATCGATTTTGATGAAATTTGCAGAGTGATAAGCTGCGGGGTCGTATTGTTGGTAATGTTTTTAAAAATGGTGCAACCAGCATGGGCTGTCTTTTCTTAAGGACAATCATCGGCATAAGGCAACTTTTTGTGAAAGTGTATTAGCTCCCAAAACTTTTTGAAAACCGGAAGGTAACAGATATTCTCAAAGAGGAGATAGCAAATTCTGAAAATCTGCAATACTTTACTCAAAAACATGCTAAATACAAATTTTAAGGACTATCCAGATTCTCAGGGGGTCAGGCCCTCCTGTCCACCTCTAAGATTTGTAAATTCAGGTATGAAAAATAACCATATTCTTAATTATGTATGTACAGTAGAAAGTGATAATAATTGAAGACACAAGTGATTAAAGGTGTCATGTAACATTTTTTTAAAAATTGTTGCAAAAACAAGATAACAAACTAATTAAACTAAATATATAAAATTCCAATAAAGTAAAAAGTCCCAATAAAAAATGTTTAGTCAATTTTCTCCATAAAATGATTTTGTTACATGACACCGATATACACTTGTGTCTTCAATTGCGAACTATGGATCATGAGATCAGTAGTCGATCTCGCCCAATTTTTCAACACTCTTAGCTGTATCTAAAATCGCAGTCAAGTGAATGCCAGTTACTCCAGTTTCCCCTAAAATTGGAAGACGTCGCACAATTACTATTGTTTCAGACTGTCCCCAAATATACACAATAATGAATAAGCAACAAAGTCAACAAAACAGACAACTAAAAGAGAAACTAAAGCACATTTTCATCGTCCTCATGTAGAGCGGGATTGCGTCGCAAAAATCAAGTACTCTCAATTAAATGAAATGTCCTTGTTATTTCCCATGCGTGTCAACCCATTCCAAACGCGTGTAGCGAATTTTAGTAGATGTTGGGAGAACGTAAGGTAACAGTTTAATTCATACAAGAGTAGATTAGATATATATTATCTTGCTGAAAGGGAGAAAGGACATAACACGTCCAGTTTTGCGAGCTATCGAAGGATTGACGATAATTTTATTTGTCGTACAGAAAATTCCCTACATGATAAATGACGTGGACCCATGTCTGGACAGAATGCTACAAAGACATGTACTCTATCTGAATCTGCACAGCGAAACTGTGTCACATCATCCCAATCCTAGATTTCCAACGATTATTAAAAATGTACCAGACAAAATGGCAGCAATTTTAATTCAACTTCACCTACCTTTTCTGGCTACTGGCAATAATTTGTTCGATTCGCACGACCTCAAATGCTATATAACAGCCCCGTTCGCAATGTTCTTGGACTGTTTACAGCACATATTGGAGAAAATTAAGAGTTCAGATGCACTATTGCACAATGGAACACCTTTTTGTTTTTCCAGACTTGACAAATCACTAGCTCGTTGGGAACTAGTCAGCTGTTTGTCAAGCAAACTGAGGGTCGGTCCCGGAGTTCAGTGGCGGGTTGGAAGGGGCCAATGCGCGCGCATTCCTGTCTAGCCCGGATTTGGCATGGCACTGATGCCAAATTGTGCGAAATGTATGCAGATATGAAATATCTTGCAAGGTGCTTTTGTATTCATTTTACTAAATTTTACACTTAAAAAGGTATAAAAACATCATTAAGAAAAGGTTAGTATTCAGTACTATGTGAATTTTAGTCAGTAGACGTGCAAATTACGTAAAAAATTATACAAAAAGTAAGATTTTACCCAAAAGATATACATCCTCAATTTGAGAACCACACAACATGGAATCAAAATACCTCCCTATGCAACCATTTTATATAAAGTTGGGTGCATCATGCCGCCGTCCATTCTTTCGACTCCTCCAGTTTTGTCGTCGAAAAGAAAATAAGGAAAACTAATAATGAAGTAATGATGTGTAAATATGTTAGAAATGTTATTGTCCTCATTTATATATGTTTTCTTTGTCATTGACAAAAGCCATGAATTTTACTTATAATATCATTTGTTGTATCCGTTCAAGCGCAGGAGGCCTGCTGTGGAGGACATAACGCCCCCATCCATGGCCCCAAGGGCCGTATCGTCAGTCGTTCCTACAATTCTAGGACGTCTTCATGGACTTCTTGATTGACATAGTCGTTTCTCTCCTTCAGAAAGGGTGTTTTTTTTTTCTAGATTCCACCTGTTCCGTGTCAGCGTCAGCGCTCTCCTATTGTGAGGTTATGTTTTCTTTTTGAATTGCAGGATATTTCATGCTGATAAAACAGATGATATAAATCAAAAACATGAACAATTTTATGCAAATCGATAGAGCGCTGACACGGGACAGTAGAAAACTATGGCTTTATGGCCTCCTTGATTTTCATAGTTTTCGACTTTTCCGTGTCAGCGCTCTATTTTGAGGTTATGTCGCAAATTAATATCTATTTGCATCGAATTGTTCATGCAGACACGCAACAGGTGCAATCTAGAAATTTTTGAAGGAGAGAAAAGACTATGACAATCAAGGAGGCCATAAAGGCGTCCTACAATATTGTAGGAACAACTGACGATACGGTCCTAAGTACGGGATAAGTCATTTATTTGGAAAAATTAGGCACCCAAGGTGTTGGAATGTAGGTATATAGAGACTTAGGCCCGTATCGTCAGTCGTCCCTACAATTGTAGGGCGCCTTTATGGCCTCCTTGATTGTCATACGTCATAGTTTTCTACTTCTCCGTGTCAGAACTCTATTTTGTCACAAACATCGAATTGCATCAAATTGTGCTTGCTTCTGAGTTATATCATGTTTTATCAGCCTGAAATTTTCTACAATTTAAAAAGAAAACATATCTTCACAATAGGAGAGCGCGGACGCTGACACGGGACAAGTGTAATCTAGAAATTGTTGAAGGAGAGAAAGAAGTATGACAATCAAGGAGGCCATAAAGGCGCCCTACAATTGTAGGGACGATTGACGATGCGGGCCTAAGAGGTGGGCAATACGGATGTTTCGACTATTTCCAAATCACTTTATCATTACACCCAAACAAAAGATCTAGCTTTTGAAACTTTTATGGCCCCTTTAGGTCCTGGGATAAAAGTACCATACACCCCAAAGCGCATAATTGTTGACACTCCACTGACTGGCTTGGATATTGAAGTAAACATTGGTAAGATGTAAGTTAGGCAACCAGTGTTAAGTATTTACCAGTGCTCAAGAATAGTTTGTATGTTGCTTCCATCTTCCATGGCCAGGCACAGGGGTGCATATACAGGGTGGTCCGTAAACAGTGCACCAAAAAAAGATTCTTAAACTAAATTCGTGAAAATAATGATACTGAACCGAATATGACTGTAAGGTCCTTCGTCCAAAAAAATTATGGAATAAAATAGCGAGATTACAGGCTGATGTAACTAGCGACCTCACATACAAGATGTAATCCTATTTTCCATCCGTATAGATGTCGTGGCCATATCGTAAAATTAGCCACTTCATAAAATGGTCGAATTTCGTGAAATGTATTATTATTCATTGGCCAGATAATGGCATGCGTTGACCAGCTTTATGGTAACACATATCGAATATGCTCAACTGAACATGCGGTTATTTCGTGAAGTGTTCAAGCATGTTTGATCAAATCGTAAAGTAATTAGATTAATTACCGATACAGGTACTGGGAGCGCTTTGTTTACATGCCAATATGACGGCGGTTCAGGTTGAGGAGTAAAATATACCTAATAGGGTACCCGTGTTTTTTGGTTTTCAAAACATCTGCGAAAATGAGAAATGTGCCGCCTCCTCCTTCCAGATGCTCAGGCGCTCTAAAAAAGAGACATGTACATTTAAAATTTAAAAAAATACAATAACGTTCTTGTCACACCTCATTCCTTCGATATTCTAGGTCTTGAAAAAATGAATCATTCAGTTCGACAGGGACAAGTCGGTGAGCAGCAGATTTAAAGCTGTGGCGAGGGGCCCCTCTAGTCTGCCATATTTTCTTCAAGAAAATGGTAAATGTTCCTGTATTTTTGTGTACAAATTATCTTGCTAGGCCTAAATCGTGAGATGTCCCCATCGGTCTTCAATTTTTAATCGGCGATACCGCTCGCTTCCCCTTCCCCCTGAACATACAGAGAAATGCATATTCCACCGACGTCAAAATGTGTACGAGAGAAGCGCGAGATGCGTGCAATACGTGTGTTAGGAAGAGAAGCATCACGTTGCCTAGCAAGCCGAGTGACGAGGCCACGGACGCGGATGTCGCGTTGCCATCGACGCACTCTTTCTAATATACGTATTGCACGCTTCACTGCTATTTGGATATCTCTGTGTATGCTCGTATATGATAAAGTTGAACGGCCGAATACTGGCAAACTAAACTTCATAAAAGGAGCCGTTTTTGCAGAAAACAAATATTCTCGGGCAATATCAAAAGCCATGTAAACTGAAGATCTAGTCGGAAACCATACATTCTTTTACGCTTGATATTTCTTTGGTATACATTAATATGAATCCCATGTTTTAGTCAAAAAGTACTGCTTTATTTACAAAAATGTGATACATGTTAACAAACCAGCAGCAGTTAAAAATATGAAACAATAGGAAATGCATACATTGTTCTAGTGAACATAGATAATGAAAGTTCCGCCTATTTCTTTCCAGACTTTTTTATTCCGCCGCTTACTAAGGGGCCCTTCTGGGATGCCTTAGCTTTAGCTTCTTGGAGTGCTTTCTGTTGTTCTTTAAGTTTCTGTTTAAATTCCATATCAGATTCATCTAGCTCCTTGGAGTCCTTCTTTGGAGCTTTGAGAGGTTTTTTCTTGCCTCCCTCACGGCCAGACATTTCCTGGAACACAGAAAAACATGCTACTAAAGAAAAGTAAAAGGAAAAAATGGCGTCAAGAATGTTGACTCTGCACTTCCCATGCAACGCCCTCAGCAGTACATAAAGGAATATGTTCTGCACAAACTAGACCGCCTGAGTCAGCCCATCAGGCCTACAGAATTAGTCCATAGACATTTTTTCCCTGCCCTACCGGTAGTGCGTCTGGAAACAAACGTCTCCCCGATACCTAACTCGGGCAGACGTGGCACCGTTGTAGGGCGGTCAGAGTATAGAAAACACGATGCTGTTGCGCGGAAGAAATAGTTGTAACACATACATCACGGTCGGCACACGACGCCAGCAGCGGCCGAGAATAGGTTTCAGGGCTAAAATACTTAGAAATCTATGATGTGTGAAACATGTCTGATAGGCGCGTAGAGCGTATAAACGTACCAGCATCAAAAAATTGAGATGAACCCTTCACACCCTCTTATAATCCCCAGCCCCAAGTTTTTTGCCTCTAATTTTTTTTTCCAAAAATGATCAGGATCTTTTGAAACGTCAGAAAACGAAGTTTGAGCGGTGTTTTTACTTTTTTGTTTTAGGCCTTTTTCTCTGCCGCCACTAGAACGATTTTCAAAAACTACAAAGCTTTTGTGTCTTTGCCACAGTAGTAACATTGTGTAAAAATTTCAAAGAAATCCGAGCAGTAGGCGTAGGAAGTGAAACATTCAGATTGCCCCAACCTTGTAACATTGTTTTGTGAGCTCAGACTTTGCACATCACATATGCAATTCTTTGATGTTGTGCCCCTTATCTTCAGACCAAGTAATGTTTGATATATATTATCCAATCACCAAAATAGAAGTAAACATGGATCCAAAAGTCACAATCACAATGTTTTGTCAGTTTTTTTAAGAAACATGATATCTTCTAGAAGTCTTTGGTGGTAGGTTTAGATGTGGCTGTTTTCTCACTACTTGTTGTATTAAGTATATTATAGAAGTGCCATTTTCTTAATTAGTATTCTGTTTTCTCATTATTTTGAAGAAGGGGCCATCGACTGGTTAGCGAAAATGCGTAAACGCTATAAAGGTTGACAGTCCATACCAATTATAAGCACTTTGACCAATTTACCTATGCCAGTTATTGGCCCTTGACATTTTTAATTTTTATTGGAAGTTCATGATTTTAGTCAGTTGTGAAAAGAGACTTATCTACATTTGGAGTATCTGTTAAACAGCATACATACAATTTGGAGTTGTAACAATTACAGTTTTAGCTAGGTTGTATTTCATACACAAGAGAAAAGGGTAATGTGGTTTCACAATAATTATTATCTAGATTTGTATTCATTTTAGATTGTTGATTTATACATGTATGCTTTATACTTGATTTTCAAAACATGAATCACATTATTTATTGCATTTTTGCAATTTCCAAGTGCATATGTCTTACCGAGAACCCCCATACTCCTGATTGATAAATTATACCTACAGTTGAAGCTTAATTGTCATACAACACTGCTATGCAAAATGACTTTACCCAACCTAGCCATAAATTTTCGTTGCAGGACAGATAAAACTTCAAATTTGGGTTACAGATGCCTAAAATAAAAAAAGGCCAAAAGTATGCAATAGGCTACTCTGAAGAACTCCTACAGAAAGCTTTAAACTAGATAAAAGATGGTCCTTCAAAAAGAATTATTGTGCTCAAGCTGAATATTATACCAAGGGCAACAATACAGTTCAGACTGAGCAGAAAATTCTAAAAACCAGAAAAAGGTCCTTGGGGTCTTCGTCCTTGAAATGGCAAGGTCTAGTCTGTTTATGCGTTCATTTACTTATTTTGTTAATAAACTTTGTATCAGATATCTCCCTTATTCAACAAATTCACACTAGTCAAAGATTTGTAATTGGAAAGAGATTACCAAAATGGCACAATGTCTACCCTGAAACATAAGTGGTTTTAATTATTAGCCAGAATATGCATGATGAGCAAACTCTTTCCATAATTGCTTTCCAGGCAGTGGAAATGTTAATATTTAATGGCCAGTAACTAGCAAAATGATATGTTAATGACTAGCATTGATATAATAATAATGTCCTTATTTTTTGTTGCTCTTCCATGCAAGCCCCATAAATATATACTAACAATTAGAGAATAATAATGGATGTAATTAATACAACAAAAATAAAACTACTGTGCTCTTTTCACATGGGATTTGACTCTCCTTTGGAAGCTGCTAAGTGAGATCGAATCTTTTACTGTATCTGGGAATGAGTTGTATATTGTAGATATAGATATGCTAACTACTAGCAAATCTGCAATTTTCCCAAAATTGGACTTTTTTGAATATAATAGTCAGGATCCAGTTAAAATTAAAGATTTCGATCTCTACTGTTTAAGAAAATTAGACACACGTCCTTAAAATTCCAATAACTGGGTAGTTTACCCTATATTATATTAGAAATAGTTCTAATCTACCTCTGCACATGGTAGGTACCTACGGTAACCTGATGTCTATACATGTAAATCGTAAAGTAATTAGATTAATAATATTATATTAGAAATAGTTCTAATCTACCTCTGCACATGGTAGGTACCAACGGTAACCTGATGTCTATACATGTATGTTCAAATCCTAATATAAACCACCGAATTTCAGTTCAACATAAATTATATATCTTATCTTAATTCATACCTAATGTTCCTACAAGAACACTATTTTAGATACATTAAAATACTTCAGTTTCACAAGAGCAACGTGATGATATTTTGTTGATATCACTATAAAATTTACTTATACCTCTATAAAATGCTCTTTTGAATTATAATTAACCTGACTTACCTTTATTAATAATATGCCCAAACAATTTTTTTCAAAAGTTATCGGAATTTATGTATAATGGTTAAAATCAGAAGCTTATTTTATCACCACCACATTTACGATAACCACAATGATGATTGATGAATTGATCAATTGATGTTGATGACAACCAGATGACAATACAATGACAAGCATCACACTACAAATACTACGCATCAAGGGGGTGAAACGTCTTATTGGCGAACAGGCAACACCAAGGTCATTCTCTCCAGGCAAAATCGAGGAAACTGCATTACCGGCATCACGTGACGTGTTGCATGCCGGGATTCTCTATCTTTATCAAAATGTAGAAATACCAAATATGACGTTTGTTCTGGTTAATATCCAGATTATCATCGTCGATGCTTTCGTTGATATTTCGTAAAAATAGAGCATAAAAAATAAAGCAGCAGTATCAGTAGCTGAGATGGTATACGTGAGATGAATTTTGACTATTGTGGGAGATTCAGAAGTTCAGAAAACTGTCATAAGTCATAAAGTGCGACAGGAAGGCTGTGAACTTAACATATCGCATGATGTACTTGATAGATTATTTAAAATTGAATGTCTGGATTCAGTCTCTTTATAATCCTTGCAGTTGGCACCGTTTTATAAAGTATGGAAGGCCGACAAATTAAAGGCATAGAACTGACCAAACTAATCGAAAGTGGCTAGCTTATTCACAAAGAATTATGAATTACATTAGTGTTTTCTATATTGTTTCAGAATTATCAAGAAGCATTACAATCAAGTGGGTCTCCCGTATTTTGCAACACACAACATGAATTTGAAATAAATCTATCTATATGTTCATGTAATACAATTTTTATACCATTATGATCATGATTATTTTTTGAAACTAAATATATTTGGTGCTTCATAATAAGGATTGGATTTTATTATTCTGATCTTTTTTCTCAGCAAAACTGCTGAAAGAGATATTACCCTTATTTCGGATATTTTATGAATATATGTTCATGAAATAATCCTTCAACATCGGAAATATCATTTTCAGCAGATTTCAAATTATGAACAAACGAAATCTCAGGCTCATTCCTAGTATTCCTTATTCCAGACGCATTCTTGGCATTATTTCGATAGTTCCTCCAGATCTCCAGGCAAGTAGGCAGCGTAACCTTCTGACAAATGTCAACGGTGTGCAGGTGCAGATTTCACGTGAGTCAAGCATCTTGCCAATAATACATTATATATATATATATATATATATATATAACTTGAGACGTGGTCATTGTCGTCTAGACCAGTTAGATGAAAAATTAAAGCTTCCGCCTTTTGTTGGGTACTTCGACAAAATTTAAGCAAAGAGGACTCTTTATACTTTTTTTAATTCGCTCTACCTTTCAATGGACTTTGCCATCATCATCAGGAGCTGCAATTACAATGATAACAGTAGCAACAAAAGTGTAAAATGAATTTAAATTGAATCAACTTACAGTAGTATGAGAGGATGTTGCTAATTGTTGTTTTCGTATAGGATGAGGGAAACGTCCAGTAACATGGTGAGAGCTGGATACATGGTACAATGGTTAAAATTATATAAAATATGACAAGACAAGTTAAAGACAGATTAAAAATTATTTAGAAAACATTAGAGTATTACGTCGTGAAGCCACTTGATGATTGCACAAAATGGTGGTCATGGAATAATGAGTGTGATGAACCTTTGACAGAAGGCCGAAGGTTGTCACTGTCTGTATTGAAAGATGGAACGAATTGTGGGCGTGTGCCAAAACGTTGCCAATTCACTTCAGATGATGTGATTTTCAGAATGTTATGTAAGAAATTGTTAAACCGACCAGAGGCAGTTGAATAAACTATATTTTAATTAATGGGAATTTTAAATTAACAATTATTAATAAATCGTGAGAAGAGAATTATTAGATTTTGAGTGGAATGAAATTTGTTGGTGGAATCGGCCAAAACACAGATTATATTTATGGTTGTGAAAAGTCGAAATTTGGGGAGATATTTAAGTTCTCCAATTTTTCGCAGTTTAGCAAATATGAGTAAATGACACTCAATTGTTTAATATCTGTCTTTTTGTTGATACAGTTGTTATTCATGAAAATGTGGGACATTTCCAGGAATAAACGTTTGGAAAGGTGTTTTTCTTTAGCAAGAACTTTGATACTTGTGTAATTCATAGAATGCCCTGTTGTGTTAACATGAGATGCTAGGCTTCATCCTGAAAGACCTCACATATGGACGGCATTCCGGTGCTCCAAGACCTCACGATCAAATACAGGTCCGCACTGAAATACTTGTCGGGAGGATACTTTATAAAACAAGGTACATTTTTTTTTTAATTTTTTTTTATTTTTACACACATATTTTGGTTTATCTTCCTTCTACAGTATATTCAGATAAGAGATAGACCGGATGTAAACAAAAGGTTCGGGTGATTTTCACGCTAACGCCGCCGTCTCGACGAAAAACAGGAGCCCTCATTGGTCAATTCGCAATTAAATGCCTATGCCGAGCGGCAGAGCAGTCGTATCAAGGCAGAGTCACATTCAGGTTCAGACGTGTTACGTATGTCGTGTGCATCATTGCAATTTGATATTTCTTTGGACGTTTTCGTTTGTTATCTTATTAAGTTGTTGAGTTTGTCGTTGTTATTGTTATACCTTGTTATTGATTGTTATTGTTATCAACTGCTTGCGCAAAATGCCCAGTAGTACAGATACTGCCGATGAAGTTGTAAACTCCTGTAGTCCACCTAGGAAACGCTCTAAAAAAAGACACCTGAGTGCAGAAATGAAAGAGGTCATTTTGAATATATATAAGATCGAGCGCGAGGAGAACGAGGCATCAACCATCAAAGAAATTGTTGTGAAGGTTTCTCACAAAGTTGGGGTGTGTCGCGCATCAGTGTTTAATGTGTTAAGACAATACAAAAAAAAATCACACCTTTTCTGAGCCAATGACCAGTAAACATCGCAAAAGTATTGTTAAATCATTGGATGAAGCTGATAAGCATGCGATTAGGAGGAAAGTGCATGAATTCTTCTTTAGGATTGAAATACCTACTATAGATAAAGTACTGCAGGAGGTAAATGGAGATACAACGTTGCCAAATTTCAAACGATCAACTTTCCATGCGTTACTGAAGCATTTAAATTTCAAATGGAAAAAACGGGGTCGTAATAGTTTACTACTGGATAGAGAAGAAATTGTGCTATGGAGGAGGGATTATTTAACAAAAATTGGGAAATATAGAAATCAAAACAGGAAGATTTATTACCTTGATGAAACGTGGGTAAACGCAGGACACACTACAAGTAAAGTATGGGTTGATGATTCTGTAACTTCATCCAGGAGGGCCTTTCTAGATGGACTGTCCACCGGATTAAAAAATCCAGCAGGTAAATACGAGTAATAGACAACAATCGGATGTTTTTCAAACCTTGGGAACAAGGTTCTAAACATTAATTCCAGGGGGCAGATAAAACATATTACAAGTAACAAAACTTTTATAACTTTCGATAAAATGCGTGGATGTTTTATTGTCATTTTCATTTGCTAGAACTTTTTTAAGCCATGTTTTTATGTGTTTTCGATATTTCAATAATTTTTTAATATAATCTTAAAATATGTCGAATATTATAAACTTAACAAAAGTTACTAAGTTTTATATTGTGTACCGTTCCTAATATTTCTAATCATTTTAATTCATACTTTAAGCTTTATAAAGTTATAATTTGTTAATATTAATATTTGCGCGTATTTCAGGTTCCTGATCATTCATTTTTTAAAGGTTTATAACTTTAAATTAAATTGTGAAGCGCTGAGTAATCATACGACGTTCAATATTCTTTCTTTCAATATGACTAAATAATCCCAATTATAGCAATCTGATACTCATGTCTCAATGTTTTTTCGCTGAATGTGATGAAAACATTTGAAAAAGGTTCGCTTATTGAAATAAATCTACACCAGTTAGTACTTCGATTTCCAGGTAAAGGGAAAAGGCTCATTATCTGCCATATTGGCAGTGAGGATGGATTTGTTGTTGACGGTCTGTGGTGCTTTGAGTCTAAGAAAACTGGAGATTACCACGAGGAAATGAATGGCGAATCGTTTGAACAGTGGTTTTCAAAAATTTTACCGAACTTAGAGGAAAACGCAGTAATTGTGTTGGATAATGCGCCTTATCATTCTCGAAGAATGGAGAAGGTCCCAACAACGGCTTGAAGGAAAGTTGATGTTCAAAATTGGCTCCGCTCGAAAAATATCAACTTTGAAGAAGCAATGCTGAAAGTACAATTATTGAGAATTGTCAAGGATCACAAGGCGGAATATCAAAAATACGCCATTGACGAAATGGCAGCAAGTCAAAATAAAACTGTGCTCCGTTTACCTCCATACCATTGCGAGCTCAATCCCATTGAGCTCATATGGGCAGAGGATAAAAATTATATAGCTAAGCACAATACAACTTTTAAATTTTGTGACCTCAAAGGACTTTTCAAAGAAGCACGTGAAAGACAAAGTTGAAAAGAGAATGTGGGAACTGGACAATATTTTAGAGGAACAAGTCGAGCCATTCATTATTGACGTTGGTGCTACAGGCAGTAGCGATGATGAAAGCTCATCAAGCTCATCTTTCCAATAAAAGATGTCGTTCATCAAATTCGGTAAGTTATAAGTAATTATAAAGCTACTGTATTTTTTAATTAATTATTGACATTTTTGAACCCATTTTGGCAAAACCTATTCAAGAATCTACTTTCTGACAATGTTCAACCATGCACATTTTTTTACGTTTTGAACGTTTTAATTTGGTTACATATTTACCTAGAAATCAAAAAATATACTAATCAATATTCTAAAAGCAATTTTAAGAGATATACGATTATTTTTAATTTAGGCTAATTTAAACGCCATTTTGAGATTATATTCGGCTGTATTTCACCAAACATCAGGCGGCATCCGAAGCTGGAAATCGAAGCGAAAATTTTGAAACCCTTATGTATATTTACATCATTATATATTTCTTACCCCACCCCCACATGATCCTATATCCATCACCAATCGTATACACATCGAATTGTGCTAATTTACTACAAAGTTACGCAAAGCAGCATCTACTATCTAAAATATGTACTGCGTGACTCTTAATACGTCCCTGCC